TTTATCATTACATTATGGAAAATAATGACCTTTATCACAATATGCTAGTTTTTTGAGAAGGACCTGTATATATATGTCATGGGAGTGGTGGCGCAGAGGTTAGAGAAGGTGGGCCTGTGATCAGAAGATCGCTTGTTCAAGCCCCGGTACCGACAACATCAAAAATGTGGGTGTGGTAGGTGGAGAACCCACACTTGCCCCCACCCTCATTCGTCCCACTCTTGGCCCTTCTTCTTTCAGGCTGTTGACTTTTCTCCGTGGCAAGACTTGACCCTTTGTAAATCCTTGCGGTAAATGAAGACTATTGTACTATCTATAAAAGCTGAGGATTAAATTAATTATGAATATGAAAATGGGGATCAAAGTAAATTTAACAACGATCTGTGTGCACATGGGCTTTCTTTTAGCTCAAGCTGGATTGTGATTTGTCATTTTGTGGTACTCCTACTCCATACCTTTGTCTGATGGGCTCCAGTCTCAGAAAGGTCCAACAACATGACATATTGAACAGAACTGGTTTTACCTGCTCTTTCTCAAAGATCTGGTTTAACCTGAACCCTGGACCTGATGCTGGTTGAGCTATTAGTTGGTCCATCTCAAGTTACTTAGTTACTGGTGCTTTTCAATTCAAAGACTGGTTCATCCCAAAAATCCAGTCCCCCATCACAGACAGAGTACTATTGTGTATGCTGTTCAGTGTCAGGCTGTCTTTGATCAGTCTTACATTGGGGAAACTAAACAGCCACTGGCCAAAAGGATGGTCCAGCACAGAAGAGCAACATCATCAGGCCAGGACTCTGCAGTCTACACTCATCTCCAGGCCAGCGGTCACTCTTTCAGTGATCAAGATGTTCACATCCTTGATAGAGAGGAACAATGGTTGTGAAAATAAACCGTCCATCATTAAACAGGGGCGGAGGCCTCCGTGTTCAACTGTCCACCTCTTACAATGCTGTTTTTGCTACTATCACTAAGCCTCCTGTGAATAGTAAACAGCTATCAGGTGCTAATGATCCGCTATTAGGCTGATGGTCCTTCTTGATCATGTGAGCAGCTGGTTTTGGTTGTCAACAGCAAACTGGTTGATCCACTCTGAGAAAGTGCTATTTATAAGACTGAGCTGAATACAGCACCTCAGACTGAGGAAGTCTTTCAGATGAAAGACGAAACGTTTCTACATTTTTTTGGTTGTTTTGCTTTGTTTTTTTTGAATGTCCAGAGGACCAGATTTAACTTTTTTAGATTTTTCTACCTGGATTATGGAGCATGCATCAGGATATCAATTCAGTTTATTTATATAGTGCCAAATCACAACAAAATTGTCTCAGGGCACTTTTCAGGAACATTTACATACATAGAAAAGCCAATTATTAAAGTTCTCTATCTAAGGAAGCAGCAGACAAGTTGAATCTTGGCTTCGTTGCAGTCTTCCATCCTGAGCAAGCACAATGGCAACAGTGGAAAGGAAACACTCCCTTTTAAAAGTGCTAGTAAAAGATGTCTCTTTGAGGAAGATAAAGTATAGGTTCACGTACGTGTAAATGGCGCGGCAGATGATCTCTGAAGCCTGGCCGGCCTTCCTCAGTGTGATGGCTAGGTTTTTGGCTCGATTGGCCTCTAGCAGAGAAACTTTGGATGGTGCTTTTTGAGGAAGTTTCTGTCTGGACAGAGTCAGATCAACTGCTGGACCCTGAGCCTTGGTCTTGAACAACTCTTCAAACTCTTCCATGTCCAGGTCCTAAGGTACAGACAGGATTAGATTTACTTAGAAGTAATGAATCTAAAAATAATAAAGTTTGATTGATTTAACCTCAAAGATTTCCAGCTCCTGCTCTGTTACCTGCAGAATGGACTCGTCATCAATGTCATTAAAGACAGTTCCATTGATCTGACTGGGCTTCAGAGCGACCCAGTTCAATACTGGCATTCTGAACTTGGTCTGGATGGGTTTCTTTATTTTCACAGCTGCAGGAAACAGGCGGACAGGACACAGACATACAGACCCATGCCTCAGATTGGTATTTTGAGTCATTTAGAATCCAACAAAATGTTGTTTGTACAGATAACAGAAAAATATTCAATTTTTATCAGGATACAATATTTTACCAAAGTGTTTGTGTTGTGGAAGATAAAGGAAAGGATTTGAGAATACACCAGGCTGAAGGTATGCAGAATTTACTGATGTTTTAATGTAAATGAATTGTAGAGGTAAGAGGTTTGAGACATGTTCCTGAATCTGAAGCTAAATTTCTGCTCTGCAGACATGTACATGTTGGAGCTCATACCAAAACATGACAGCATTAGTATGAAAGTCAAAGCTTTGACTGATGGTGGGACTGAATACTGACACATTTCTAAATGTTTAGGGTTAAACCAATGCAAGGTCAACTCCATCATCCCATCAGATGATGCTCATGTTGACCAGCATGTGAGAAATGATGAGGTTTGTTCATGTTCAGACTGAAAGTTCTGTTCCATATTTGGGTCATCAATTCACCTGATTGCTGACTGACAGGTGTGCTCAGGATTCTGCATGCTTACACAGAAGTAATAAGACCAGTTGCTTTAGTTAATTTTAATATTTTTGTGGAGTGAGTGAAAAAAAGTGATTCCAGTTTTGGTTCTGAGCCAACTAGTTTTGTCTAAACCAGTGCTTCAGTAGCACCACTGAATCTGAATGATGATCCAGAGTAAAAATGTGGTCTGGGATCCCTCTGACCCAGCACATGAACATTTGGGTAAAAAGTGGTATTAGTGTTCGTCATCACATCTTTTCTTGTCTTTTCCTCGTTCAGTCTGAACATACAGATGCCCACAGATGAAATGGAAATGAAAACACAATGAAAGGAATCAGCTGACAGCTGGTTTACAGTTATCAACTGATGGAGGGTGAGGCTTGGTGGGTGGGATTTTGGGTTTTTTAGTGAATATAAAGACATTTGAAAAAGTCTACATACAGAATAACTTGAGAGGACCCTCTGTCAGCAGAACGGGAGAAAGGACAACATGTTAGCATCAAAGCAAACTATACATTACTGTCATCATGACAGCCAGCTGAACAGCATGTTACTGTTGTCATGGTAACCATCTGGACAGTATATTGCTGTTGTCATGGTAACCAGCTTGACACTATGTTGCTGCCATCAAGGCTACCAGCTGAACAGTATTTTACTGTTGTCATGTTAACCAGCTGGACAGTATGTTTCTGTTGGCCTGACAACCAGCTAAGCAGTATTTTACTGTTGTCATTGTAACTAGCTGGACAGTATGTTACTGTCATTATGGCAACCAGTTGGACTGTGAGTAAGTGTTTCTCTGTCAGTAAGCTTAAGGACATGTTAATGTCACCAAGGCATAGAGCTGCATAACAAGCTATTGTCACCATGGCCACAAGCATCATGTTACTCTCACCCTGTCAATAAGTAAGTAAATACACTTTATTTATATAGCACTTTTCATAGATACAATCACAAAGTGCTTTACAGAAATACAAAATACATGGTTAAAATAAAGGTGTGTGATCAAACATAATGAGAGTGATGGAGATCCTTACCTGCCAGCCCTGAGTTAAAGATAACTGTAGGAGAACCCCCTGTTCCTGGGAGAGGTGGGGCGACGGGAGGAGGAGGAGGGGGCAAGGGGACACAAGAAAGCTCACTGCTACGACAGGGTGGGGGAGGTGGAGGAGGTGGTGGAGGAGGAGCAAGAGGTGGAAGCATAGGGTATGGCCCGTTGGACACTGAGGACAAAAAGAAGATATATCTGACTGTAATGAAAGTATTTAAAAACAGTAATTAAATCATTTATCAGCAATACTTGCTCTGACTGGTGGACATGAGACTCACATGTGCCTGGCATTGGTGGTGGTGGAGGTGGAGGGGGTGGGGTTGGTATGCCTGGAGCTCCACCCATACCAGGTCCCATGCTGTGATAGGTTACAGTTTCAGGGCTGCAAAAATCAAAGGGATAATCAATACAAAGCAGATGGATTGAGCTACAGATTGCCTTTAGGTAATGTGTCTTACCTGGGGGAAAGGTTTAGACAAGGCGGAGGAGAGGGGGAGGCAGAATCGGCTGCACCCCCATCTCCCTCACCTCTCTGAGGCTGAGGAGCTCCAGGTCCTCCAGCCTGCTGGGCCTCCTGAGCCTGACGCTCCAGACGACTCTGCCTTCGGATAGTCTGGTCCTTTTCCCGAACCATCCGGCGTAAGGTGTGCACCTGCGAGTTGGCACTGGCATACACCTCCTGCACAGTGAATACGTGAAGAATTGGCAAGAGGTGATGCGAGGAACATCTGATACCAGTATCTTATCCATCTCAGCTCACACCCATCCTTTTTGTTTCCACGGAGCTGAACTGTGTGTTTTTTATGGTACTATTACTGACCCGAAGTTGGTCCAGCTCCTTGTTTGTCTGCATCAGTTGTTTCTCTAGTTCAACAATCTTCAACATTGCTTCATTTTCTACATCCAGCAGACGTTCTGACATCTAGAAAGAGATAGAAAGTCTTCTCACCACACTGACCCACGATTGAACTCGAACACAGACAATAGATTCTTGTAACTCTTTACAGTAAAATGTTGCCTTTTTTTACCTGGAGAGTGTGCAATAATATTTATTGTAAACTTGTTTTGTGATAGTGTATGTGAGACCATTACTATGGATTTACCAAATGCATGTGGAGTAAGTCTCTATCCTCATTTGGGTGTTTTAGACCTTTGAATCAACAGCATAGAAGATGGTGCTAGTGGGTGTAACTTGCCTATTTTTTGCAGTGATGTGCAGTGAGCTTTGTGACAGGAGAGTGCACTGTCTGGAATCGATGCTCACATGTATGAACCAAAAATAGAAACTTATATTTCAACATAAATTGTTTTAAAATTATTAGAAAATGTTTGACACTTCATTGTGCAGAGATGTTCTTCAACTCGATGATTCTTTCACATTAGTCTTATGGAGGTACTGTATGTATGTATGTATGTTTTATTTATTCATTTCATTTCATCCAAACAACAAATATAATACAATTTAAAGAAAAGAAAAAAGATATACAATCACAGAAATAAAATGAAAGGCAGCAGAAGAAGAATGAGTTCTTATAAAATCTGCTCCTTGTCCCCAAAATATATTCCAAACAAAATTACTATACAAAAGCAAGATGAATTAATAAAAATAAATAAAAAATAATAAAATAAAAACTTAGCTAAAATATAAGATCAACTGTAAACAATTTTTATGAACTCACATTATACTTAATATTTTTTTTTAAAACAAATTTTTATCATCTTCTTGAATTTGTACATAGTTTTGGCATTTTTAATATCAACCTCCAGATCATTCCACAATCTAATACCCTAAGAGCTAGTGGATCGCATCTTCAGACTGGTGCGACACCACGGCTTCACAAACATCTCCATCCCCTTAAGATAAGCAATTACTTTCTCTTTTAACAAATTTCCCTTGAATGTTAGTAGGTAGTATGTTTTTGTTGGCCCCATACATAAACACTAAGATATTGTAATCAACCAAGTCCTAAAATTTTAATATCTTTAGCTGATGAAACAATATATTTGACGGATGGTTATAATCTTTTCTGGTAATAATTCTTATAGCTCTTTTCTGTAAAATAAAAATTGGATTTGTAATTGTTTTACATGCTTTACCCCAGACTTCAATACAGTAAATTAAATGTGGAACAATAATGGCATTATACAATAGAAACATTGCTTTATCATTGAATAACTCTCTAACTTTGTACATTACTGCGATCGATTTAGCTATTTTAGTTCTTAAGTTTTTTACGTGAGATCTCCATGTTAGTTTTTCATCAATGATGACACCCAGAAATTTCACCTCATTGACTCTATTAATTTCAATTCCATCTAACCCTAACCCTAACCCTAACCCGAAGATCGCCAGTTCACGCCCCGGCCCCGACAACATCAAAAATTGTGGGTGGGGTAGGTGAAACACCCACACTTGCCCCCACCCTCATTTGCCCCACTCTGGGCCCATGAGCAAGGCCCTTAACCCCCACCATGTGCTCCCTAAAAAAAACAGGTCTCTCTTGAAAATGAGTTCTCGTGGCTCAATGAGACTAACCTGGATAAATAAAGGCTAAATGAAAAAAAAAAAAAAAAAAAAAAAAAAAAAAAAAAACCTAAACCACTGGAAAGTCTCTACAATTGGGCCTTGAAGGTTTTATACCAAAAGCCAATCAGATTTCATCACTGTAATATTTTAGCTAAGTTTGGTATTCTAGAATTTTCCAAGCTATTTACTTTTGTTTTTTAAGTGACCTTGGTTCATGAATTTGTTTAAGGAGTAGGGAGCACACAGAGATCAGCTGACTGAATTTTCACTGTTAGCATCAGGTCAGATGGCATGAAGACACAACTGAATCTATGGAGCACAAATATCCAACATAGAACTAACCTCACTTTGGTGAATTGTATGATCTCTACCAAGATGATGGAGCTAACAGCACTGGAGCTAACAGCACTGGCCAGGCTGCAGCAGGAGTACCGGGAGTCCAGCTTCATGTGATTCAGAGACTTGGCTGGGCAAGCTCACCTGTCCAAAGAGGTAACTTTGTACGGTTTCTAACTTAAAGAAAGTCACAGAAGCAGCTAAGAGTAGTAGGAAGAAGGAAGGAGGTCTATAGCTGTAATTTCTAACCCAAGCCAAAAGCCTGGCCTAGCCTGGCCTGAATTCAGGCCATAATAATGTGATTAATGTGGGGGCCGAGCCGGTCTCAGGCTTTGATGTTGTTTTATGAATCATACAGCAAAAAGAAAACTAAATATGAATGCACAATATAAAATTGTGTTAATATACTTGTAGAGGAGGAGGCAGTAAGTTTAATGAATAATAAATAAATAAAATGGAGTGTAGCAGTTAACCAGACTGTGAAAAGAGAGTAGCACTGATGCGCAGCAATTACACATGGCCACGCCCACTCTGCTTTGCTCCTCTTGACACATTGACAAGTTGGGCTTTTTAGTCACATTTCTAGCACTGTTTTACTGTGTACAGAGAGAACTGGTTGGTGACAAATATGCCACTATCAACCTTGTTTTTCTCTGGTATAAGAAACTGAAACAACACAGTCCTAACACACAGACTCCCAACAGCAAATGTTTGTGCGCCAAAGACATGCATAAGTATTGGAGTGCAAAATCATTATCCACGACTTATACAGTGATACACTTTTTCTGTGGCCTATTTATAACAAACTTAAAATGATGACACCTGCTGATGTGTGTCAGGTGCATGCTCAGGTCCACACCCTGCTCTCATCTGTGGTGGAAGAAGTTGCTGAACCTGAAGCTCCAAAAGCTGAAGCGAGCAGTGTGTTCTCACTACCACCATCCAGACAAAGAAGAACAAGTGCTTTTGCCAAGTGGGAGAATGCAATGAATGATCCAGAGAGTGATGATGAGGTTACACTGTAAATCACTCAAAAGCATGCTATGGCCGATGAACAAGATTTGCTGGGATTTTGGAAACTAAACTCAAATGTGTACCCAAAACTGGCCAAGTTGGCGAGATCTGTGCTCTGCATCCCATCGAGCAGCAACAGCAAACAAGTTTTAAGCATAGCTGGCCACACAATAGATCAGCAAACTGCTCTCAAACCTGCTACAGTGGAGGCAATATTGTTCTTACATGACAACATGTAAAACCATGTAAGTAGAACATAACTTCTTGACAGATTTTGAAATATATTTGTAAATTTGTATTTAGGCAATTCGCGGTCTAATTACAGATTTATTTTGCAGGTTCATAGCCAAAGAAACGAGGCTGTGTTGCTGATAATACGATCTGGCGCAAACTGAGCCAGCTGAACATATGCACTTTTTATTTTGTTCATGTTTGTGTAATTCTTATTAATATTTTTTTGATCATTTTTATTGTTCTTTATCACTCCCATTATTGTTGCAATTCAAGATTGTGCTATATATTAGTTTTTGGCTACTGTCATCCATCCATCCATGCATCCATCCATCCATCCATCCATCCATCCATCCATCCATCCATCCAT